GGAGTACTTCAGCTTTGAGCTCCCAGCATAATTGAAAAGGAAGTAAAAGGATCTTTAAAACCAACAGAATTTATCCAGCCAGACTATTGGACAGGATACTGTTAAACGGACGCTGATAGTGATAGCAAACCTAAGCACACTCCCTCCAGGGAGCTGACTCTTCTTTCAGGGTAAGTGCTAGCATAGGAACTATTGAAGAACGGTTTCATTTGCTGTTATTTTATCAAGCAAAGTTTGTTTTGAATTTTGGGAAAAGCAACCACCGTCCATTTCCATATTAAACTTTAATAAAGGAAGCGATGTTGATAATTCTCAGGACCGACTACGTGGGTAGTGCAATGTTATCAAAGTAAGTGATTAGAGAAACAGTCAATCCAGATCTGGGTCATAGGCAAAGCTGTGAAGCTAATTATTTAAACTCCTTATTACTTTGGAAGCACAGTGTTTGATATGTGAAAAAGGATTTACATGAAAAGAGGTGAAATAAATGGTGTGCTAGTAAAAAGGTTTTCCTATGCAATAGTTTAGTGACATTTATCAAGGAGGGTGGCTAAAACAAGCATTTTCTATAGTCTCCAAACTCCAGACCAGAATTCACATGACAACATTTTAGTGATATGTACTTGCTTATCTGTGGAAAAGTCAGATCTGATTTATTCAGCCAACCTCCTCTTTCTACCTGGTAAACAATATGTTGGTGCAATGTGTTTTCTAGTGGTACTACTGAGCCAGGAACAGACATGCTCTCATACATCTTCCACCACCAGGGAAAAAATGAACAACTCCCCAAAGTGGAAAGAGTCTTGGATTGAGAACAAGGAGAACTGACATGTGGTACCTCCTCTTCTACCACCACATTGCACATTAGTTCACACAACTATGAATTAAGGGGATGGACAAGAAAGATCTTGAAGCTTCCTTGTGTTTCCAACATGCTTTTGTTAGCACAATGAAATGAAGTGTAAGAATTTCTAAATTTGATTAGCAAGCTAACCATAAATACATTAGTTATGTATTAATGTGTAACAAAGTATCCTCAAAATTAGTGGCCTAAAACAGCAATAAACATTTATCATGTTACACAGTTGAGACAGAAATACAGGTGTGGCTTAATAGGGTGGCACTGGCTCAGAACCTTTCATGAGGTTGCAGCCAATATGTCAGCACAGTTGTAATCATGTGAAAGCTTGGCCAGGGCTGGAAGATCTGCTTTCAAGGTGCTTTACTGGCACATCTAGCAAGGTGGTGCTGGTGGTTGGAAGAAGGCCCTCAATTCCTTGGCATGTGAAACACTCCACAGGACTGCTTGAGTATCTTCCCAGCAGGGCAGTTGACTTCCTGAGGAGCAAATGACCCAAGAAGGAACAAATCAAAATGTTCAGTGTCTTTTATGACATAACCTACTTATACATGCCAACCCTATTTAGTATGAGAGGGGACTATACAAGGACATGAATATGAGGAGGTAAGAATTATTGAGGGCCATCTTGAAGGCTGGTGATCACAATAAATGAAGTTAGTAACAAAAAGGAAATGGTCATTATTATATAAACTATTCAAAAACCATCCTATTTAACCTTTTTTTAAAAGTTAGAAATGACAACATGACATAGCTATATATTTAATTTACCTGAATATTGTGATGCCCCAATGCATTGAATAAAATTGAAAATGATCATATATATGATCCTATCTAATAAAAGACAAAAAGGGTAACTAACCATACCTTCGCTACGCTTCCTATTGGCTAATCAGGGTGATATGCAAATTAACTGTCAACAAAGATGGCGGCCAGCAGCCACGCAGCTGAAGCGAGCAGGAGGTTTGCTTGCTCCAGTGATGGAGGAAGCCAACGTTCCCCGCCTGCCGAGGCCCGGCTCTGAGCTCCGGAAGCAACAATGTTTCAATTATAGAAGCTAAACAAACCCCAGATACCCGCTTTCAGCCAGCCGCGGCCTCAGATCTGGGAGCGCCAGTGATGGCAACAATGTTTCAATTATAGAAGGTAAATAAATCAAAGAATAAAATAAAAAATAAAAAAAAGGAGAGGCTGGGAGCTTCAGTCGCCCACCAGCCTGAAAACGGCCCTCAGCCCCTCACCCAGACTGGCCAGGCACCCCAGTGAGGACCCCCACCCTAAAGGGGGTGTGGCCAGCCTGAAAACGGCCCTCAGCCCCTCATCCAGGCTGGCCAGGCACCCCAGTGGAAACCCCCACCCTGAAGGGGGTGTGACCAGCTGCATACAGCCATCAGCCCCTCACCCAGGCTGGCCAGGCACCCAAACGGGACCCCCGCCCTGATCCGGGACACCCTTCAAGGCAAACCAGCCGGCCCCCACCCGTGCACCAGGCCTCTATCCTATATAGTAAAAGGGTAATATGCAAACTGACCCTAACAGCAGAAAGACTGGGAATGACTGGTCACTATGACACACACTGACCACCAGGGGGCAGACGCTCAATGCAGGAGCTGCCCTCTGGTGGTCTGTGCACTCCCACATGGGGGAGCTCTGCTCAGCCACAAGCCAGACTGATGGCTGCCAGTACAGCGGTGGTGGTGGGAGCCTCTCCTGCCTCCTCAGCAGCGCTAAGGATATCTGACTGCAGCTTAGGTCTGCTCCCTGCTGGCAAGTGGACATCCCCCGAGGACTGCCGGGCTGCAAGAGGGCACAGGCCAGGCTGAGGGACGCCCCCCCCCCCCCGAGTGCACAAATTTTTGTGCACCGGGCTTCTAGTATATATACAAAAGCCTAAGTGATCATGCGACCCTTCGACCATTCAAATGGTAGCTATGACGTGCATTGACCACCAGGGGGCAGATGCTTAATACACAGGCATGGAAACATGGAAAAGACTGATGAATCTCAGAGGGAAGGGGGGAGGGCAGGAAGAGATTAACCAAAGATCTTATATGCATACTAGAGGCCCAGTGCAGGAATGGGTCCTCGGCCTGGCCTGTGGGGATCGGGCCGAAACTGGCAGTCCAACATCCCCTGAGGGGTCCCGGATTGCGAGAGGGCACTGGCCAAGCTGAGGGACCCCATCGGTGCACGAATCTGTGCACTGGGCCTCTAGTTTGTCAATAATATACTACATCAACTTTTTCTTTAAATCTAACTTGGTATTAGCATCCTTGGGGACATCCTATCTAATAAAAGAGTAATATACAAATTGACCAACACACAAGATGGCGGCCCCTATGTGGTCAAAGATGGCCACCACAAGATGGCTGGCAGGGGAAGGCAGTTAGGGACGAACAGGCCTGCAGGGGAGGGCAGTTGGGGGCAATCAGGCTGGCAGGGGAGCAGTTAGGCGTTGATCAGGCTGGTAGGGGAGTGATTAGGGGCAATCAGGCAGGCAGGCAGGTGCATGCTTGGAAGCCAGCATTCCTGGATTGTGAGAGGGACGGTGGGATCGGGCCTAAACGGGCAGTCCAACATCCCTCAAGGCATCCCAGATTGGAGAGGGTGCAGGTTGGGCTGAGGGACAGGACCCCCTCCCCCCGTGCACGAATTTCATGCACCGGGCCTCTAGTCTCTAAATAAAAATAATAATAGCTATTCCTTTTCTCCCAACACACATTCACACAATTTGCTGGCAGCTGAATAGCAAGTAACTCAGGGAGGTAACTGGTAGGAAGAAATGAACTCTCACTAGCTGTTAAAACTAGAATACTCACAATCAGTTCATAACATCTTCTCTTTAAAGGATCACAGCACAACAACTAACATATATACCTATTGCTACTAGATTTTTCATAACAGTTCTAATTTTTAAATTTGTGTCCAGATGTAGGTCAAAAAACATAAATCTGATTGTCAAACAGGCCTACATTCAAAATACTACACTACCTTTAATTCATTGACAAGTTAGGTAATCTCCAGGAACCTCACGTCCCTCATCTAATGTGAATCTACACCCATCATGAGGCCCATTTCATCTTGAAAATATGATTGCTGAATGCATATTTCTCCCATCCTCCAGCTGCTCTGCCCTTCAGTGATCACCCCTTCTCCTTTTCTAAACACTGTGTTACTCTAATTTGGGGCATTAAGTAATCTTGGAACTTTGGACAAATCACTTAACCCCAAGTAATCAATTCCCGTGTATTAAACAGCACTATAATTTTTGCCATAAACACCTCTGAGTCTTAATTTAAGGGTTATATTAAGATGAGTGTCAAAGGCTCCATGAACTGTAAAGCCTGGTTGTGAAACTTTTCAATTTTCTCCCTAAACTGCCAATAGCTGCAGAAGTCTTCGCTTCTGATTATTAAAACAACATAAGCATTATATACTATTTTAAAAAATTCTTTAAAAATGTTAATCTAGTAATTAAAATTGTGTGTGCATGTTCTGTAACAGAGACATAAACAATTAATAATCAGTTAATATCCCAGTCTTTTCCACTGTAAACAAACTCGGTGAAAAGCAAAAATAAATAAATAAATTTTTATTATGAAAATTTTCCATCCTATTGGAAGTATCAGGATAGTATTACGAACTCTCATATATCTATTCCCTAGGTTCAACAATTATCAATCTGTTTCATCCAAACCCGACATTATATCCCTAACTATTGGAAAGCAAATACGGGTATATCATTTTATCTGTAAATATATCGATATGTATATCCAAATGACAAGGGGCTTTGAAAACATAGTAACAATACTACTATCACATAAATATAATAATCATCAAATATCCAGTTAGCGTTCAAATTTTCTCAATAGCCTCACGTTTTATACGTTTTCATATCCACATGTTTAACCTGATTCATGTTGGTTTTAAGACTTTGGTCTCCCATTCAACGTCCTGGACTTGAGCGCTCTCCTCCCCAAGGTCCTGCTGAAAAGTGACTGATCAGCCTTACCAGAACTGGGAGCACCACTAATTGCTGGGGACTGTGGCCCGTGGAACCGGAACCGATGTCGCGCCTCCACTGTGAGCCCCGGAGGGAACTCTTTTTCAATTGCACTGAGGACAGTCTTCGCTGACGCGATTGGCAGGAGGCACCGGAAGCGCTTGTGAGTCTGTAGCCCGGGCCCAGGCTGGCGCCACGAGCCTCGCTGAAGACCGGCTGCGTGGTTTCTATCAGGAGTGGATGGAGCCCAGAGTCGACCGGACCTCCGCAGCGATGGAGCGGGACGCAGGAGGCCGCTCGGCCAGCGCACTGTTCGCAGGATTCCGGGCCTTAGGGCTTTTCAGCAACGACATTCCACACGTGGTGCGGTTCAACGCGCTGAAGCGCCGCTTCTACGTGACGACCTGCGTGGGCAAGAGCTTCCACACCTACGACGTGAGTGACTCCTTCCATCACCCGCTCTCCGGGAACCACCCTCCCGGGACCCGGGGTCATCCCGCTCTGCAGCCCCGTCCTCGTACCCCCACCATCCCCGTCCCGCCCCCCGCCCTCCTAGGACTGTCTTTTCTGCCCGTCTCTTCCTTATCCCCTTCCTGCTGCTTTTCACCGTGGCTTCGCCCCGATGCTGGGTTAGACCTCGCAGTCCGCTGGGGCCGGATTTCCGAGGCAGTCCGGTTAGGACAGCGGTTCTCAACCTGTGGGTCGCGACCCCTTTGGCGGTCGAACGATCCTTTCACAGGGGTCGCCTAAGACCATCCTGCATATCAGATATTTACATTACGGTTCATAACAGCAGCAACATTACAGTTATGCAAACGAAAATAGCAACGAAAATAATTTTATGGTTGGGTCACAACATGAGGAACTGTATTTGAAGGGCCAGAAGGTTGAGAACCACTGGGTTAGGGGGAAGCACCAGAGAACATTTCAGTCCTAGGGCAATATCTTCGTACAGTGAGTCGTCATGTTAGTTCTCTTGAAGCTGTAACTGTGATTGAGACAAGTGCTTAGGCCCCGCACTCTTAGTGAGGAAGAACTGCAAGGCATTGATCGTGCAGTTGATGGCACAGCTGGGTTAGAGATTCACTGACATCTATTGAGAGAGATGGAGAGGGTGGGATTAATTATGAGTTAGGGAACTGTCCACGTTTGATAGCAAACTAATTTCCCCAAACTTCCTCTGAGCATCTATTTTCCACCGATGTTGAGGGTCCGGCATGGCACACACTTAGCCTTGCAGCAATTTCTTCGCAACGTCCATAGGACTATTTCATAGCACCCTTATGTAAACTAGGAAACGAAATCTCAGAAAAGTTATTTGCCCAAGGTCTTCCAGCTTGTTAGTGACAAGAGGTTTTTCTCCTTTAAGAACTCATATCTGCCGAAACCGGTTTGGCTCAGTGGATAGAGCGTCGGCCTGCGGACTGAAGGGTCCCAGGTTCGATTCCGGTCAAGGGCATGTACCTGGGTTTCGGGCACATCCCCAGTAGGAGATGTGCAGGAGGCAGCTGATCGATGTTTCTCTCTCATCGATGTTTCTGACTCTCTGTCTCTCTCCCTTCCTCTCTGTAAAAAATCAATAAAATATATTTAAAAAAAAAAAAAAAGAACTCATATCTCACCAATGATTGAAGTAGTCTTTGTTGCTGTTTACCTACTTCTTCTGTCTTCTCCAAATGAATGTATTCTCTGTGAAAGCAGGAGCCTTTTCTTTTTTAAACAATTAAATTTATTGGGGTGACATTGATCAATTGTGTCATAGGTTTCGAGTGTCCGTTACTATGACACATGATCTGTATATCGCATTGTGTGTCCACCCCCATCGTCAGATCATCTTCCGTCATCATATACTTGTCCCCCGTTATTCTCTACCTCTCCTGTCCCCCTTCCCTCTGGTAACCACCATGCTGTTGTCTCTCTGTGTCTCTGAGTTTCAGTTTTCTGTCCCACATACGAATGCAATCGCATGGTTCTTAAGCTTTTCTTTTATGAGGGAGATGATAATGGCAAGTGTTAGTTAAGCACTTTTTTCTGGAAACCATGCTATAAAGTTCTATTCCTTGATGGATTGTGAAAATCAAGTGGGTTATTAGCAAGAAGAACTGGTTGTTGGTAGCCTGTTGAATTAGTGGAATAGGAAAGTGAAGGCCAAGCCCAAGGTGGAGGTGATGGTCATAGTAGCTAACATTTATTGAGCAGTTATTATATGACTGGCTCCATTCTAACTGTTTTACACAAATTTTACTCATTGAGTATCATGATAATTTCATAAAGTAGGTATCTGTATTCATCCTGGTTTTATGAAGACTTTGAGGCACAGGGAGCTTGAGTAACTTTCTCAAGGTTACACAGCTGGATCAGTAACCACAGATTAGGGTCAACAAACTATAGTCTGCAAGGCAGTCTTGCTCACCATTTGTTTTCATATGACATTTTATTTTTTCCCCATGTAGTTTTGTGTTTATTCTAACATAACATGACAAGCTCCGAGTAAAATTTGCACAGTAGTAGGATGCAGTATAATCAAATTTGGCATGGGATGGAGACATCTACTCTTTTAAGAAACATAGGATATTTAACTCATCACTAAGGGCCCTTTCAATCTTAGCACTCTTGCATCTGTGGGGTTTGATTTCACATTTATACCTCTCTGGAGCTCTGTGCTTCTGAGATGGGCAGTTTAGACATTTTCAAATGTTTAGGGGGAAAATCAAAAGAATAGTATTTCATGGCATATGAAAAATAAGACTAAGTTTATTGGAATACAGCCACACACATTTGTTTATGCATTATATATGACTGCTCTCTTGGTACATTCGCAGTTGAGTAGACACAACAAAGACCACATAGCCTGCAAAGCCCTAAAATATTTTCTGTGTGCCCATTATAAAAAACATTCACCTACCCTTTCCTTCACCATTCCTAATGAAATAGTTGAAATGATAAGTTTTCCTAATAATGAAAATTAGGATCAGTAATTGTCTTAGGAAGGACAGCATATCAAATTTATGTATGAGATTATATTTTGATCTTCAAGTGTTAGATTATTATAATTACTAGAGGCCTGGTGCACGAAATTAGCGCATGGGGGTCTGGGGGAGGTCCCTCATCTGGGCTTGCATCCTCTTGCAATCCAAGACCCCTCGGGGGATGTCCAACTGCCAGTTTAGACCCTATCCTGGCAGTCGGACATCCCTCTCACAATCTGGGACTGCTCGTTCCTAACCACTCACCTGCCTGCCTGCCTGATTGCCCCTAACCACTCACCTTCCTGCCTGATTGCCCCTAACCACTTGCCTGCCTGATCACCCCTAACTACTCACCTGCCTGCCTGATCGCCCTAATCGCCTCTGCCTGCCTGCCTGATCGCCCCTAACCACTCTGCCTCAGCCCCGGCTGCCGCAGCTTCATCCGGAAGGATGTCCGGAATGACATCCAGAAGGTCATTCGGTTGTCCAGTCTAATTAGCATATTATGCTTTTATTATTATAGATTTTTGTTAGTGAGAATTTAATCATTTTTTTTTCTCTTTTAAAACAGGTTCAGAAACTTAGTTTGGTCGCAGTAAGTAAGTGTAAACTTTATTCTGAATCTATGTATATTTTGTATCTTTTTAAAATTTCAACAAATTTAAGACTTACAGAACATATAAGGAATCCAGTGTGTATTTCTGATAAACTTACATAGCAAAAAAAAAATTCAGGATCATATGCTACATTTAGTTGTCATGTCTCTTAAATCTTCTTTAATGTGGAATAGTTTGTTAGACTTTTGCTATGCTTCACATCATTGACATTTTTGTCTTTTTTGTTTTGTTTTGTTTTACATCATTGACATTTTTTTTATCATTGACATTTTTGAATTCTATATATGCTAGTTCTTTTTTAGACTATCCGTTAAATTTATTTAAAAAATTTTTCTGTTGTGATTAAGTAGAGGTTATGTACTATGTCGAGAATAACAAAGAAATGATGCTGAATTCTCAGTGAATCATATCAGAACACACATGCTGTTGGTTAGCCCTTTTCCTGGCAGTGATAACTGATCGTTTTGTTAAGGTGACATTTGTCAGGCTCTATTTTAAAGTTTTGCCCTCTGTAATTAATATGTATCTTGTGGTAAGATACATTGAGACATTATAAATATCCTGTTACTCTTCAAAGTGTCATCTGCTGCTATTATCATTCAGTGATACTTCTTACCTGAATCAGTAACCAGTATTATGATTACCAAATAGTGCTTTTCATATTTCATCATCACTTTGATTGTAAGGAAGACATTTTCCCTTTTCACACATTTAGATATTTTTCTAATGGAAGGAATATTTATTTTTTTTGAAATTGTTTAATAAAATAAAGGGCTTGCCAGGGTGCAGAGATTCTGGTTTACTATCAATTATGATCTTTGTAAGAGAGACAGAGGAGAACTGTAAGAAATCTATTGGATATATCTGATAAACTTAAAATTTTTAAAAGATTATAGGAGGCAGAAGAAGGACAATGTAACCTCAGTTGAATACAGAAGTGAATAATAAACCTATAAAAATAGTATTTTGTAAATGAAATCCCAAAGTGTAATATGCAACATAAAAAAATGCTTAATTCTTTATCTTTTAATCCTCTAACCCCCTAAGCAGAAAATTTTTTTAAAAATATATTTTATTGATTTTTTACAAAGAGGAAGGGAGAGGGATAGAGAGTTAGAAACATCGAGGAGAGAGAAACATCGAGGAGAGAGAAACATCGTCCTACTGGGGATGTGCCCACAACCAAGGTACATGCCCTTGACCGGAATCGAACCTGGGACCTTTCAGTCCCCAGGATGACGCTCCATCCACTGAGCCAAACCAGTTAGGGCTAAGCAGAAAATTTTAAAAAGGCCAGGGTAACCATGACAGTGAGAGAGGATTCAAGAAATCATATCATATGAGAAAGACAGCAGTTGATAGGCATATTTACCTTGGAGAAGATGGAGTGGGAGTCAGATTGTTCATTTTAAGGGTCAACATGTAGAATATCAGATGGAGTATTTTTTTAAAAATACATAATTTTATTGATTTCAGAGAGGGTGAGGGAGAGAGAGATAGAAACATCAATGATGAGAGGGAATCACTGATTGGCTGCCTCCTGCACGCTTCCTTTTGGGGATCGAGCCTGCAAGCCATGCATATGCCCTTGACTGGAACCTGGGACCCTTCAGTCTGCAAGCCAACAGTCTATCCACTGAGCCAAACCGGCTAGGGCCATATGGAGTATTTTTGAGGGTACTCCAAAGTGTAGAGTTAGATGGGGTTCTAAGTTTTTATTTACTTTAAAAATTTTCCTGGAGTTATTAGTGAACTTGATGTTCCTGAAAACATTCACATATGACTGAATGTCTGCTAAAGTTTTGTGTATTAAGGATTTTTCCCAAATAACCTCAAAAAGCTTCTTTTCACTTCCTTAGAATTATGTTTTTATGTCTGCAAATACAAGACATTAGTTCTCTTATTGAGGGTTAAGATGATTTCATAGTTTCAGCCTCATAGTTATTATTAGATGTCTAAAATAACATTAATGTCAAAATTTTATACTCTGATGGTTAGCTTTCATATTTGCACATACACATATTTTTAAATTATAACCAGGAAAAATGTTATGTGTATACTTGAGGTTTCCATCTGTTTCACGATCTTAATTTTTTATCACTTCATATTTCTTTTTCCTAGGTAACTCTCTTCCACAGGATATCTGCTGTTTGGCAGCTGATGGGAGGCTGGTCTTTGCTGCTTATGGGAATGTTTTCTCCGCATTTGCCCGTAATAAAGAGGTTTGTATCACTGGACTATTTTAATGTGATTGTCTTTTGCAGTTGTCATTTGTCATGATAGTTGGCATCCTTCTTCTGGGACTTTATTCACATTGGCACCACAGCTTTATGAGAATTGGCTTTTTATTGTGGACAGCTCGGCTTCTAACTCCTTTTCTAAGAACTAAGTACTTGTTCCTATATAAAGAAAGCTAGATTATCTTGTTTCCCCCACTAATAATGAAGAATCTTTTTTTTCTTAATCTACCAATCTTTTTTGTCTTAATCTAAGTTTGTCCTGGGAAGACTAGAGAGATGATCTGGCTTTAGTGGTCCAGAATGAAAGGGAAAGTGGGAGTAGGGATGCCTGGCCTGTGATAGAATCATTGTACTTGTTAAGAGTTGAATGGACTGACATTTGTTCCCAAAGTCCTCCATCATCACTACTTGTGGTAGGATGGCAACTTACCTATGGAGTTCTTTAATGGGAGATGTTTGGGTTTTTAGAGTTTTAGGGAAAATGTCTGGTTTTTGTAAAGTATTGCGTTTGTAGTTTTCTCTGAGAGATTATATATATATATATATATATATATATATATATATATATATATCTACACTAATAAAAGAGAAACATGGTAATTGGCGTACGACCGCTACCCTTCCCATTGGCTAATCAGCGTATCCTTATGCAAATTAACTGTCAGCCAAGATGGCGGCCGGCAGCCATGCACTGAAGCGAGCAGGGAGGCTTGCTTCCTCCAGGAACTGCAGACTCCAACGTTCCCCGCCTCACTTGCCGGCCTCTCAACTGCAACTCTAAGCAACTATTACTATGTTGCAAATAAGAAGCTAAACAAAACCGGCTTTCAGTCAGCCCCGGACCGCAACATTGTATCCATGTTTTCAGCAGCGAGGCCTCAGAGCTAAAGCTGGCCCAGAATAAAAAAAAAAAAAAGAAAACAAGGAGCGGTTGGGAGCTTTTAGTCAACTGCCAGCGGGAAAACAGCCCTCAGCCCCTCAGCCAGCCTGGCCAGGCACCCCAGTGGGGACCCCCACCCTAATCCAGGACACCCTTCAGGGCAAACCAGCCGGCCCCTACCCGTGCACCAGGCCTCTATCCTATATAGTAAAAGGGTAATATGCCTCCGGGCACCGGGATCAGCGGAGCAGTGAGGCTCCCAGCACCGGGATCAGCGTGACAGGGGGCAGCGCCCAAACCCCCTGATCGCCCTGAGGCTCTGTGTGTGACAGGGGGCGGGGCCACAACCTCCCTATCGGCCCTACTCTGTTTGTGACAGGGAAAGGCGCCCCAACCCCCCGCCCCCACGGGCCCTGCTCTGTGTGTGACAGGGTAGAACCATAACCTCTCCATCGGCCCTGCCCTGAGTGTGACAGTGGCGGTGCCCCAACCCCCTGATCGGCCCTGCTCTGTGGGTAATAGAGGGTGGCGCCCCAACCCCCCTCCACGGGCCTTGCTCTGTGTGTGACAGGGTAGAGCCATAACCTCCCCATTGGCCCTGCCCTGAGTGTGACAGGGTGCAGCGCCCCAACCCCTTGATCCGCCCTGCTCTGTGTGTGACAGGGGGCGGT